CGTTCAAAGTGGTGTGCACTTCAATTGATGCAATGCATGGGTGGCTTTGTAGCCACTGACAATGTAGTTGTAGGTGGCTGCATATCCGCAGCTTGGCAATTGCAATCCTCTAATTGATGAAGATCGTGCGTCATGTGTTGATGCTGCCTACAAGTGGGACGCGCAGCTACAAACCCGGCTGCAATCTCTCGTGCAATAGTTGTGCTCCCAAACAGAGGCAGCGAGGCGCCAAGCTTCCACAGCAACAATGATCCCTATCTCGAAGCCCTCTTGCAGGTGTTTGGTCGGTAACACGCACGTGTCAGATGGGTAGGCGGGGAAAGGGTTTGACTCGCAGCAGTGTAGTCGAAGGTAGGATCGGACTTAAGATTAGAGCATAGTTGATGTATTTGTGAGAGATCTTGTCTCTTGTACCTGGGGTTTTTATAGGCGTTGTGCGCCTATAAGCATATATCATAGTTGTGCTATACATCGAGAGTGTCTTAGAGATATGGGTGATTGTACGTGTAGAAGAGGGACGTTGGTGCATACGATGGAAGCCACTTTGGATGGGAGTGGCTTCGTCAGTCCATTGGGTTTGGGAAGCAGGCCTCAACCCGGGGTGGCGTCGAGGTGGCTTAGGTGGCTTGATTGGTGGCGCTAGGCCTAGACGCGCCACATGCACATACCCTGTGTTCATACTAGGTGTGGCTTAGATGAACACAGCAAGGTTCTCTCGTGCGATAGTCGTGAACCCAAACACAGGCATCTGCGACCCCCCACATGCAGACAGTGCCATTCGACATCCTTTTGCCGTCCCACAACCCTGCCTCTGGTGATGAGGGTGCTCATTCTTTCCTGACAGATTCTGCCATCAGCAATGTTCAGGGAGAAGCGATCAATAATAAAGGTGCGCAGACAAGCTGGTAGATTGTCTTGCGATTTGAATGACCAGCTGTGCCCATTGGTGGCGACCACACTTGCGGTAGTGGGGGCGCATTGGATGGGTGTGGTGTGTCAAATATATGCACACTCGCACCACCACTCAATGGTGCGGTGCCTGGCTTCTTTGCCTCTCATGATGGTTGCATTCCTCAAAGTGTGGCAATTTTGATCAGTAACAAAGCCAGGACCGTACGAGCGAGCGGTCAAGTCAGGCAGCATTGAGGGGAGTATGGCGCGTGATGCCCGAATGTCGGAGCTCGAAGCAAGAAAGCCTCCTGAGCGCGATCACAAATTCTGATCTTCATAGACGACGCAGCACGGACTTATGTCGGTAGCGCGTCGATGATGTGGATCAGTCGCACTCAACACCAAGGAGTGCTCCTCTGTATTTCTCACCCGTTCTGAGCCAAACGAAGATGCACCGACAATCAAGCGAGCCAATTTGCGAAGATCGATCGGATTCTATTACACCGGTCTTCTAATCCAGAAGAAATAGTTGGCCTGTTCTGAAGGATTGAGGGGCAAGCCCTTGGTCCACCTGGGCGCCAACTGCCAGATGCCCTTCCAAGGGAGGTATGCGACGCCTCGAGACTCGTACAGAAGCTTCTGCGTGGGTACGATGTTGCCACGTTGCTCCTCCTTCGGCCGTATCCAGCCGACCTTTGTGTCGCTGAAAAAGCCGACCAGCTCCGAGGGATCGATGTACTGAGAGTGATTGTGCGTACCACGAGAGACGAGATCGAGGGCGCGCTCGGCAACAAGGATAGTCAAAAGGTACGACAAAGGAGTGCGAGCTATCGTGGACAGGAACAGGTGTCCGCCAGGCTGGTGGGGAAGCAGGAGCGGAGGTCGGGGAAGAAGAAGGATCGGCGTCAAGGATTGCTGAAAAGGGGGGCCTTGCGGGCAGGCACACTCACTTTGACGAGCTGGGTGAGCGTCTGCAAGAATTGAGCAGGCTGATTGACATGCTCGATGACCTCCATTGCCGTGACGACATCGTACTGAGCCTCGTCTTGGCTCAATGCAGCGCTTCGCTCAGCCAGCAAGTCTTCGGCGGTGATGTGCTGATAGCTCAAACTTGCTTGGTGGCCATCCGCCCAGGGCTTGGATGCGCCGTTGGAGGGATGAAGATGGAGGGCGGGATCTTGAGAGGCGTGAGAGATGGCCATGTGGATGTTGCTTGAGGAAGCGTCTATACCGTGAACACGACCCGAAGCGCGAGCCAGAGACTGGGGAAAGCAGAGAGAAGGGGCTCGTGTGTGAGATGGCTATGGGTGTGGGCAAGGCAGGGCAGGGCAGGACAGGGCAGGCGCATACAAGCGGTGCTGCGTTGCGCGAATGCTATGCTCACCTCTGTGAGCAAACCTGCACCGCAACCGACGTCCAAGCATTCCAAACCTTGCAGCCAGTCCCACTCGCCGTCGCGCAGAGGAGCGTCGTGATCTTGCTTGCTAGCTGCTCCCCGCACGCTGTCATCCCAGGCGCGCACCTCTGCCAGCTTCTCCTTGATGAAGCGGATCCTGATTGGATTCATGGCGTGCAAGAGAGCAGTCTCGCCCGTTGGTGACCACCATTGTTGCGACAAGCGAGAAAAATGAGCGACGGATTGGGGATCCAGGGAGGAGAAGGAGGAGGAAGGAGAGGAGGAGAACGAGGCAGAGGAGGTTCGCAAGCGCTTGGAGGAGGAGGTGGAGAAGGATGGGCAACTGGGGGCGAGTAGGACAGGCTGCTTGCCATTAGGAACGCGCCATGAGGTGGCAACTCCGCGAGGCGATATCACTGGCTGAGAGAATGGTGGTGGTGATGCTGGGAATGCTGATGGACAAGAGGAGCGGGTGCGAGGGAGTGCAGATGAAGAAGGGGCGGCAGCAATGCGTGCCAAGCTGCTGCTCGATGCTCCTCGCCCTGTGGCCATCATCATTGGATGGATGTTGCCTCTGTGGGCTGTCTGGCAGAGGGCA